ACCCGATTTTTGTTTTTGTACTAAGGAACCTGCCTACTTAGTTTCATTAAGATATTTTTACTCAAGTTACAGCTTGCACAAATAGACGGACAGACAGACATTCAACCGGATTTTCACTTTTCTCGTCATCCTGATCATTTATATATATATAACTATATATATCTAGATTACATTTAGGTGATACGTATAATCGTTAGGTGACGACTTTTGGGGTCTAAATGGTGTTAATTTACGATGAAATCTTGAAAAAGTTAGAATCCGAAATTGCTGCTTTCTAAACATGCAGAAATAACCGCGAAAACAACTATCTCTGAAAATATAATCAATAAAATAAGTCCGTCTCGCTTAAACGTATGAGAAATATAGAGCAGAAGAAGACATGTCGAATGAAGAATTCATAACTTGGTGGACCTCCATAGAGCCTAATTACGCGAATAAACTGCAAAATAAAGCGACATAAACACTTTTGTTTGCAACCTTTTATGTCCTGTCATAAGTTCTGTTACAAGTTCAGATCGATAGTATAAAACTATGTATGGTACATTTTTTAACAAAGTAAATTTTTGTGCTCTCATTCTAGTCCCACACCGATTCGATCATTCGCTCAATAGCAGCATGCACAATGTATTTCTTTTGGGATAGACTACGCCGCATGAATCAACGATTTTTTGACACTGTCTGTGTGTTCTTGAACAGGGCATATTCTGAAGATCACAGGCCGCAAATTGTAGTCTAATGAATTCAAATTTGGACTTCCAGATGGCTATACTCTATTTTTGAAAGCAGGAATACTGCTTTTAAGCCACTGCTGTGTGATTTTTATCTGGTGTACTGAAACAAAATCTTTCTGGAAGATACCATTCTCTCCATTGAAGAAAGAATTGCTTTACTCTATGACCACGCCTTTGAGTTTTATCTCATTTTTCACAGAAGTGAAAAAGCTAAACGCCTTTATAGTAGACTCTATAGAAACCATTACAGCAGCTGGATGCTGACCACGTTGAACCCTTGGAATAACAGTTACTGCGTTTTTGAGTAAATTTTATTATGTTGCTTATTAAAACGTTCTTCAATAATGAAACTTTTTCATTTATAAAATGGTTACTTTTATGGTAATTTACCGCGTGCCGCTGAACACATTTCCATCTGTTGAGCCTAATTTACTTCAATTGGGTTAGCAAAAGACGATCAGTTGACAGATTATGTATGAGTATACACTGCACATATGTAAAATTTAATAGAAATAACGGTACTTTTTTCTGGTCATTTGTAACACAAAATGTCTGCTAAAAATTTTTGAACTTATAGGTACAATTAGCAGGTGGACTGCGAAGAAGTAATTTTGTGTGTTAACAATGCATGTTTTTTGGACGAAAAAAATTCTGTTGAAGCCAAGGCTCGACTTGGTGATCATTAGTCATTCTCTGCACCAGAAAAACCAACCGGTGATAAGTGGTTTACTAAGTTTAAATCCGCGGAAATAAGCACCTTAGACGATGCACGCAGTGGACGCTCCAAAGAAAAGCCTCTGTCACATATCGAGTGAAGAGAACTTCATGTAATCATTAGTAATTTGCTTTCATTAGGTTCTTTATTTCTTTTAATTATATTTTATGAACATTTTACACTTTACTACACTACTCCTCAGAGTTTCTATAATTTAGATTCTCTACACTTTTTGTTATCATTTTACCACAACTACAGTATACAGATACTTACACTTCCGATCTTTTCGTTCGTTGAACTGTTTCGAAAGTAACTCTTGAATGTCTTATCTTTTGTTATTACGCTTTTAGCTGCAATGAATAGTGCTAGTTGTGAACTGCTTTCAGAAACTTCTCACTTATAATGACACAAGTGTAGTTAACACTTTAAACCACAAGCCTACTATAATATACTGCTCACTTTTTTGGAACAAATAAACTTATATGAAATAAATTTAATAAATCGCTTGATTTTTATTGCTTTTCGCCTTTAACAAAGCCACCACATATCTTGTGCACTTTCTTTTCTGTTGCGCATTCGCTGTACTATGCCTTTCGCTTCGAGCATTGACAATTCACAACACAAGTCTTTCTAGGCCGCTTGACGCATGCGCGACGACTGTTGGTACGTTCGCCAAGTTCATACCTTCATTGCCACCAAAGCTACCTTTTCTTTCCAATTTCTCTTTACACATTCTTTCTTAACAACGTAAGTACATAACGACCAAATAAAGCTGAGCTTAGAGGCGCAGTGAGCAGCAAAGAACTGACTCTTCAGTCAGAAATTTTTCCGCCGGCTCTCTCTCTGTCATTTTTCGGTTAATTTATTTCAGCGCTTGTCCAACTTTGATGCTTTGTTAGAAAAACAGACATTCGTTCGAATTATTTAATTATCAAGTCTGAAATTTCCTAATCATGCTAGTAATTGCCCAATCATTTGTGTACCTACTCATGATAACCATTTTTCCACTGCTTATACACACTTCCTCCGTTATGAATTTCAACATTTTTGCCTTCATATCAGATCTTTCACAATTTACTATTTTTCTACGCGTAAATAACGAGCGCTACCCGACGTGGTGGCGCGCACGTATAGTATGTTTGCAGGTCGTGTGCGAAAAGGTACAAATTCGGTTTTGCGTTTTTCACCGCTTTCTCCATCAATCATAATCACGTTCTTTCATATCCATTTCTGTTTTCATTGTCCATTACTGTTGAACGTCTGCTTGAGCATGACATTTGGTTTACAATTGTCAAGTGTCGATTGTTGAAAAATTGTATCAGTGTCGACAAGTGGCTTGCATTTGAGCTGAGTGACAATCGAATTGTGCTCTGCCTAAATGAAATGTTCTATTTTGCAACTTGAAGAAATACTGGTTACTCTGAATTGATTACTTTTTCAGAACCTTTTCGTAGCCAAATAAATATTTCTTAATTATTCCGGAAATTTCAACGACTTAAGTTCAAAAGAGAGACTCATTTGTAAGTTTATAACTTAGATAGCCTTTAAAAAATGTTAGAAAGATATTATTCACAGCCAGATATAGCGAATTCCAGATATCTTACGTTAATTTTAGTTAAATATTTTGAAGTATTATAACCGATAAAATTTATTCGTGATCACATAATCGAAGTAAGCGAATTAAAAATGATCGATCAATTCTCATTTGTGATTTGTAAAATAAATTTAAGACCACAACAAAAAACATTAACCGATAAAATTAATGAGTAGCAGTAATCAAATAAATCGATTTATATTTTAAAAAATTGTCGATAATTTTTTTTTCGATATAGTCAAGCAAACTGCAGACGGTATTAATTTTAGTTAAAGACAGCCAAATATTTCCATATTAGAATTATCCTGATCATAAGCATTTCTTGTGAAATGGGATAAGTAGACATGGTTAGACCCGATTTTATACTTTAAAAATAGCTTCAAAAGTTTGTCGATGTTGATCAAGCTTTTTGAACATGAGTTTCACCCAAAATAGTGGCATTTCTCTCTTATTATACAAACATATTTTAATAAAAAACATACTAAATTTAATGTGATTAAAACTATAATACTTGTTGAAGGATTAGAAAATTGATATGTAATACATGATTTTAACTACATAATAAATTCAATAATCAACAACATTTCAAAAATAATAGATATACCGGGAACTATTGATTAATTTCGTACTCTATGTTTGAAAATAACGATAAGTTGGCATATTTATCGATTAATTTTTCGTAAATTTTTCCATTTTTATTATAAATGATTTTCTATGAGTACTTTTTCCTCGGGAGAATAAACTTGTCATTGATGAATAATTTTCAACTACTATGTTGATAGCAAATTACAGTTTCTACAGTCTATGAGTCTATTGTATTATTTTTTTATTGTAAAAAAACCATAAGTTGTCATATTTATCGATTAATTTTTTGCTATGAGTTCTTTCTTATTGAGTGATTAAATTTCCAATTTACAAGGTATATTCCAAATAAACAGGACTTCTTGAATGTAGCGCACCTTGGTGGCGCCATCTATATGTCGACTTTATCGATTATTTATTTATCGTAAATTTCATGACATTTCATCGATTGGCAGTGAAGTTATTGTGTTTTAAGTGTCAGTATGTTTGTGTTATCTGTGCGAAAATGAGCTTTGAATTTAAAGCCAACATTAAATTTTGTTTTAAAATTGGCAAAACTTTTACCGAAACGTTTCAATTGATGAAACAAGTTTATGCAATGATTGCCTATTCCATAGCAGAGTGCACGAGTGGTTTCAACGTTTTGAAAGTGGTCGTAAGGACATAAATAACATGTGGGCCAATCAAAATCCGTGATCACCGGAAATTCCATCGAAACTGTGCGTGTGTTCATCGAAAATCAGCCGAAATCATCATTGAAATTCATGGAAATGGAATTGAAACATCTCCAAAACATCGATTTATCGCATTTTGACCAAACATTTGGGCTTAGGAAAGGTGTGTGCACGGCTTGTTCCGCACAAATTGACCGAAGACCGAAAATTGATCAGAATCCAACATTCGAAGGACGATCATTTGACCAAAAGCCGCATTTTAACCCTTAAACATTTTCCGTATTCAACTGATATGACAACTTGCGACTTCTGCCTTTTCGGAAAAATGCATTCGGCCATGAAGGGAAAGCGTTATGCAGACGTTAGGAGCCATTCAAAAGGCTTGCACTGGCATACTGGCGGACAACACTCGTTCGTCATGCTTTTGGACCGTGCAAGAAGCTATATTGAAGCAGAAGGAGACTATTTTGAATAAAATAAATTGGTTTTGCCGAAAAGGAAAGGAAAGGTTTTTGTTTTGCTTTTTTTTAAGTCCTGTTTACTTTGGAAATCTCCTTGTATATGTATATACACATTTAGCAATTCATATCGAGTTGCTTCAAATCATTAACTTCAAATATTTAAGTTAGTTAAGTTTTCCAAATGTATTATAATTTATCGATAACAAAATATAATTGCTATACTAACAAATTTTCTCCCCGCAGGTGGTTGCTGTGGTTCCACCAAAAAGCGGACTATTGTTGGTGGTTGGGCATGGGCCTGGTGGCTGGTGACAGACGTGCAACGCCTGTCGCTCGAGGTGATGACACTCAATCCCATGTGCGAGAATGTCGAGACGGCACAGGGTGTGCCATTAACTGTAACCGGTGTCGCTCAGTGCAAAATCATGAAGGTATGTTGAAGAAATATCACGCATCGCTCGCTCTAACTTGCCAACAACAATTCGAATATGCTTCGAAGGAATATAAGAATTATATTAATTTACATTATTTCACTTTAATATTATTTTTGTATAATTTGTTAAAGATATGTAGCGCTTTTTAGCTTAGATTTCCGATTTGGTAAATGAAATTGAACTTGTTTTGATTTACTGTTAAGCTGAGAACTTAGTGAATTAAATACTTTATACATATATAATGTTTTCTATAGTCGTCTGCTGAGTATTATAATATAGAGAGAGGCTTGGTACAAAAAACGGCATGCTAGAATTAATCTAAACATTTGCATATCTCCTAAGTATCGTAAATTATCAAAAATGAGCGTGTATTAATTTTCTTACGAATTTATTTACTTTAGCTAAAAACACATATTTGTGTATATTTAATAAAATATTATTAATTTATCCCGTATTTCATTAATAAATTCTTCTTCATTATTATTTGTACAACAACAATAAAATATAATGATTAAAAATTTAACTCTATGTAGCGTAAAAAGCCTAGAAAAAATAGAAATTACAAAGTAAGTTGAAATTTTTTTATTTAATTTTTCTATTTAATATACATATTTATTGAATGTTTCAGTAAATTTACGGCTCATTGTGTCTCACTCACGCAAGTCTAAATTTTCTCATCATGATTCGTACTTTGTTAAATTACTGTACTAGTTACTAAGTATAGCTAACTATGCTTTTGCTTAGAAGTTAATGAGTTGAAGTGTGATGGCTATAAACCCTATTACAATATTATATTATATTTATTTAAATTT